ATATTAGCGACATTATTCAATGGAATTGTTTTAATTATCGTATTTAAAGCTTGGAATCGGCTCTACAGCCTATGACAACAAATTACTTATGCATGTCCACGTCTTCGTATAATCCCCATATAACGGCTGCTTTTTTACTTGTTCTTACTTATTTTAATTTAAAATATACAAACTTCTATTTTTATACCCTTCAGGGTAATAGGTGTTTGTGCATTTGTTTGTAACATGAAGAAGGAAGCGAGATATGCCTATAGTTGCTTTTGAGTCTCTTTATAGAATCACTTTTTGAGTTAATGTGTGCATTTTAGTCCGTCTGTTCATGTATTTACTTGGACAAAATGCAGGTCGCGTTTATTATTCGATTTAGATTATGAGGACGAACCTTATTGAAATTGGTGAGAATTGGTTCAAATTTAGATATAGCTCCCATATATTTCTTCAACCGATTTCGAGTTAATTGTGCACCAAATGACCAAAATCAGTCCAAATAACCTGCATTTTGGCATACCCGACCGAAAACACTTTAAAAGCGAGTACAACAAATTTGGAGAAAATTGGTTCCGATATAGCTATAGCTCAAATATATAAATATTCATTCAATTTGGCTTTTTACGACCCTCACATGCGTGATATGCACTCCACAAGAATGATATTTGGTACCGGACATCACATACTGTTTGAAAATATGTATCGAAATAGGTTTAGATTAGGATATAGCTCCCATATATATCCTTATCCGATATCAAGTTTATTGTGCACAAAATGGCTAATATCAGCCCAAATGGACTGCAGTTTTGCAATTCCCGCTGAATTCGTCCCAGAATTAAGTATTTCAAATTTGCTGAAAATAGGTTCAGTTATAGCCATAGCTCCCATATATATGTTTCATCCGATGTGGTGTTAAAGTCCCTCACAACAATAATCTTTGGTACCATATATTAGATACAGCTCAGGAATAATTGTTTAAAATTTTGTCAAAATCGGTTCAGATTTTGATATAGCTCCCATATATATTTTTATCCGATCTAAAGTTTTTTTGTGCACCAAATGGCTCAAATGGACTGAATTTTGGCACTTCCGACGGAAGCCTAAAAGCAAGTACTTCAAATTTTGGTGAAAGTCGGGTTTGTCTAGATCGGATCAGATTTGGATAGATTGAGATAAAAAACTGAAACACAGTCAAACGCCATAATTTTTACCATTTTTTAAAATGTTATTGAATGAAAGCAAAAATTTCGGAAATAGCATCAAATTTCACCTTTGGAACGAATTACAGCCTTAAAACGGCCAATGAAACCATTACACGCTGCCCGAATGTTGCTCTGATCGACACTTTGGTATTTTTTAATGCCAACCTTGCTTTCCATACTTCAGACACAATAGTCCAACGAATTGGTATTCGGAGATTTTGGTGGCCATTGTGCGCTGTAAATGAAGAGAACAACCTCATTTTGGTGCGTGTTGATTGCGATGGTGATGAGTCCTGTTGGAATGTCCAAGGTCTGCGGCCAAAATGTTTGCGTGCCCAAGGCTTTAATACACCCTCCAGATTATTTTCGCTATAATATTCGTTCCAAAAAAGAGCACTCTTAAATCATGTGTTTCCCAAAGGCCAGTTAGACATCCTTTTAGAGCCATAACTTGGGCGCGTCTAAAAGTTTGCAATAAAAATGTTTGAGAAAAATGAGAAAATGTCACTTTACCTATGATTCTAACATGACGTCTGACCTGACCCTTCATGTCTTATCATATTTACTCCATATTTTTCCTATTTCATATTTTATTATCCATAAAGCAAACACAATTCTTTATATTCGACATATGTTGGGCTATTTACAAAATGGCGCCTAAAACTATGCAGCCCTCAATTTCTATTCTTGTTTGAGTATTGCTTGGCCTTCTTTTTATTCCTTTTTAAATATTTTATTGCTCACTTGGGGAAAACCATAATCTTGCTATTAATATTCCATATGTATTCTCATACCGTTAATAACTCAAAAGTAATTTGAAAATTGGTCCTTGAGGTTTTATAGGAAAATGGCAAAGAAATGCCAAAAATATAAAATTTCGACAAATGGAAATGTTAATGTCAAAATGACAGACATTTAGGATATTGGTAACCTGAATGGAAATGAAAATATTTTAAGGTTCGCTGAATTATTAGCATTGCTATGACATTTATTTTACATATAAAAATTAGAATCATATGTTAATTGACATTTTCATATTTATCTTAAGTATTTCTTTAGCATACTTTTAGGTGCTCCCAACTGTTTGAAACTAAAAAAAGGACGCAACTTTTAAAACTGTACTGATTGATGTTTTCTTACCTTCCATTATAGCACGGAGGGTATATTAAGTTTGTCATTCGGTTTGTGACACCTTAGACCCCACAAAGTATATATATTCTTGATCAGCATAAAATTTTATCTCGATTAACATAATTAACCCGAAAACGGCTGAAAATATATATGGGAGCTATATCTAAATTTGAACCGATTCTCACCAATTTCATGGGGTTCGTCCTAGGACCAAGCACGTACTGGATGAAAAAACTGCAGACAACTTCAGACTGCTGTCATTTCTAAGCCACTTGTCCGACAGCTGTTAAAATTATTCCAGTGACAGGTCAATTTAGTGTTTACAAGCGTACAAAGGCATTTGGGTGAGAACTTTCCAGAAAAAAAGTTTTTCGTGATGGAATTCAAGCGTGATAGTATGATATCTTTATATTTGGCTGGAAAACCACAAGTGGCTATCATTAGAGCACTCCAGCATTTAAATGTGAATAAATCTTTTGTATCTCGTACCATCGCTCGTTACCGGGATACTGGTAGCGTAGCCCGACATCAATGAAGTGGACGCAAGTGAACAGCAACATCAGCAGAAATGATTCGAAAAGTAAAGAAGCGACTTGATCGAAACCCGCGTCGCTGTGGCCGAAGAATGGCTACACGCAAAAAAAATATAAGCCTCTCTAACATATGTCCCAAACATATTTTGCAGCAAACAAATATATGTTTGCAAACATTCCCAAACATAACATATGTTTGGGTGCTGCAAACAAATTATGTTTGGGTCCAAACATAATTAATGTTTGGGTCCAAACATAATTAATGTTTGGGTCCAAACATATTTTTTGTTCGGGTGCAAACATAATTTATGTTTGGGTCCAAACATAATATATATTGGGGTGCAAACATAAATTTATGATTGGGTCCATTTGTATACTTACTGCAGATATAATTCAACCATAATGCAAACTAGTTTTAAAATCAATTTTTGATATTCACATTTTATTTAACATAAAAGAAATTCATACATATTATAATATATAATATAAAATTAAAAAACATATACATATTATAAGCATATGTTTTAAAGGCAATTTATAAATAAATTATTTTCAAAATTTGAACATATATAAAATGTGTCATTTGTGTACAATAAATCGACTGGATGTGTGAAAAAAAAATCGTCGAGTTCTACTCGAAATCCATAAAAATGGGAATCAAATCCATGATTCAATATTCTTTGCAGACAAAAAATTGGTTGTGGTTCTTTACAAATATGCAAAATAAGGCCGAATTCCGGCAACTGGTCTTCACTATATCCGATATGTACAACCATTTTGTTTTTATAGTAAATGCCATTAATAGTTAGATTGTTTATAATTGAAATAGGATTTTGTAAATGAAATTTCTTTACAATACTTTCTATGTCGCATTCTACAACTCTCTCTCCTTCAACTTTGTTAGTATAAAACTCTTCAAAGTTTAATATAGTATTGGCGATGTTAAGCTGATATTTGTGAATAATGTTTTTATTAAATTAACTCTAGAATTGGTGGAAGTTGCACAGTTTTTGAAAGGCTGGTGGAACGCTTCGAATCGAATTGATGACAAGTGTTTTAGCGGACCAACTTCGTCCATAATTCGTCCATAGTGAGTCAAATTATGATATTTAGGTTTCAATGTTGAATTTGAGAGTTTCAAATATAATCTGTGGTGCTCAGTTATCGAGTTTGTTAGTATTACGTTTGACTTAATTTGTAAAACGTCAGAGTTACAACATATGTTTAAAATTTCTCTTAGCAGTAAATACAAGTGCCATTCTTCGCAATCTGGGACTAAGTCGCCTATTATTAAAGATAGATTAGAAGAAAATGTTTTCATTTCAGATGCAGACATTTTAAACTTAAATTTCAGAAGAGCATCACTATTTAAAATGGGTGGCTTATTCTTACAGTTAGGACCATAATTAAATACCAAAATGCGATAATTTAACTGTTCTAAAGTAAAAAACTTATATTTTGTAATAAATGAATTTAAAATGAATATCAAATCGTAATGGCAAACACCCTCTAGCAAATCATGCATGACATCAATGGCAAAGTTGTTAAGTACATTAAAATGTTCTAATTTATTCCAAACGCATGTTTCTTTATACCTGTCTGTCTAGCGTCTGATGTCTCTACATCATCAGCATAATTAATGTCATTTCGCAACAAACTTGGTTTTTCTTCACAAGATGTCTGCGTATCGCAACGTTTCATTTTGCAAAATCTACAAAAAAAATTGCTTTGAAAACTTTCTGAAAATCCGAGAACAGTATTCAACCCCAAATTATCGCCTAGAACCAAAACAGAAACAATTTTTACGACCTTATATCCTTCTATTTCTGAATCTAAAATTATTCCCTCACTCTCTAGGATGTTCAGATATTTTATGAATGGTGTGAATACACGGGAATTTCCAAATTGTTTCCTGTCTTCACTAAAGAGAAGCATTCCTGTAAAAATATTTTGTAATTTCGAAGCCATATGGTCTGGCATACACGCGAATTTTACATACACACCACAAATTTTTTGGATGCCAGCGTGCGAAGCTAGAGCATTATTCGGTTCAAAGTCATCACTGAAAATAAACAAAGGTAAATAAAATATTTCTTTCGATGTTGGATATTTAGATATTATTTTTTTCCAGTGATTACCTTGAACATAGTTTTTTATGGTGCCATTATTTTGGTGTGTCAACAAATTTTGGTAATATAAAATAATGTCGCGAAGAAAAGGGGTAGAATTGAAAAGAACGCCAAAAAATATTTTTAAAGGAAATATCCCTACAGTATAATTAATTTTTTTTAAAACAACTGAATTATCCATGTCCATACATTCATTAATTTCATCTTGTATATTATGATATTCAATATCGAAAAATAATTTACTACGTTTTAGTTCTGATATAATTTTGTATTCTGAATTTAGTTGGCTTGCTTGTATTAAATTACACACAGATAAAATTAATTCCGTTTTCTTTTCATTGTCGTCCCATTTTGAAAGCTGTAACTGCAAATGAATTTTCTGAAGGTATTTTTGTAAAACAGCACTATTTGCTTAGAATTTGTTATTGCTGAATTCCGTGAAATTGTCTTATGACTGTATATTTTAATAAATACTTTCAGAAATTCCATTCGAATCTGTTCTATTTTTAGAGACAATAAAGTGCTAGATTCAAAATCTTCATTATCCACAGGCTCTGAGTATTCTTGTAAATATTCGTTTGAAATATGATGAATATCTAGTTCTTGACTAACTACAGGCTGATGTTCATCTGATCTTTCTCTAAGTTCAACACATAAATGTTTTCTCAAATGGGATCTAAATGATTCTATATTGGTGAATTTGCGACTACAAACCAGACATTCAAAAAATTTGCAACTTCTGTGTTTTTTCCTATAGTGTTTTATGAGATCTTTAAGAATATCACAATTTGCTTTGCAAAGGTGGCAAGTTAATACTGTCATCGTAAAGTAACTTAAAATGATCTTTAAATTAAAATAAATCAAGAATATAATAATGAATAAAAGACAATACAAATACAAAATTATTAAAATAAGTCTTTGATTATGGTTTCAATAATAGCTACCTTTTCGTTTGGCAGTTTAATGTTGAAAATGGATAATTGGATAAATTCCCATACGTGTTTGCACAGTGGTGGGTATGCAACATCTAAAGCCATAATATACATGAATCCTATATTTAAAGCTTCAAGTAGATCAGTGCATTTATAGATGAAACCTGCGATGTTAAACTGCGCATAAGTGATGTCATGGCCAAATTTTACAAATCTAATTTGTAAGTCCGTAATAGAATCCTCTTTCAATTGCACAATTGACTGTAAATTAAAATAAAATTTGATTATTTTGGGTAATAAATATTTGTATATTAACATATTTTAAAATAGCTTACCTCATATTCCTTAATAAAACGCTCCTGAATTTCAAATTTAGTGGCTCTACCTTTCTTTTCATGCGTTTCGTGTCTTTTTCCACTGTGTGGTAAGATGTATGGTATTAAAAGAAGGGTCAATTGTGCTCTCAATCCTAAAAAATAAATATTGTATTTATGACGTGATCCAAATAAAATATTTGTTTTACTAATTAATGCTTTATAATTTTAACACTTACGTTCTTCAGTGGATGTATCGATTTTCGTAAGTAAGTTGCAGACTGCTTTGTCCCGAAGAGTACGTGCGTGATTCAAAACATTTGAATATATCATCAACCAATTTTCAACAGGTTCTGTTGCTGAATACAATAATTTCACGTCCAAAGTGGTTAGCTTGATTCCATTGTTACCCTGTAGCACAGGGTACTTTGAGATATATTCAAATGTGGAAATATTTCCTTTTAATTCGTTTCGGCGATAAGCATGAGTTTCCTGCCACTTTAAAATAATTGTAGATAAATCCGAGGTATTCTCAGTAAGGTACTCAATACTTTCTGCTTCAGCTGAAAAAAAATCATTTTTAATTTCAAGGTGTTATAAATTACTAATATCCTTTACCACATAGTGGTGTAGCCTATAAACCAATAACTTACATGGGAGAGACACATTTGCTTTACGCTTAAGGTCCTTGCGAGGCCTTCGACTTATTATTCCATCAGAACGTAAAGATGTCCTTTTGTTATTGTACGCACTCCACAACTTTCCTCTAGCAATACAGCCTTTCTCCGAGGGGAGGAAGTATGCAGAAGCTAATTCGGTATAAAAAATGTGGACAATCGATTCGGCCAGAACTTCAAAATCTTCACGTTTAAGTCTGAAAGATATTTTTTTAATAAATAAATAACAATAATTATTGAAGTATTAAAAAATAATAAAAGCAAAAAAATATAAAACTTTTGCAAATACTAAAAAAAATAATAATAAAACTGATTAAAATCAATAAAAATATTGATATTAATAATTAATATTAAATTATTAACACATTTTTATTTTATCAATAACAACAATATATTATTTATAAAAATTAAAACATAATAAATTAATATTAGAAACATAAGAATAATTTTAAGCATAATAAAAATTGTAATAATTAATATAATATTAATATCAGTAATAAAAAATTGTTAAAAATAATAATATTAAAACAAAAATTCTACTTATAAAAATATTAAAGAAAATAAATAATTTATAATGAAACATAGTTTTTTATTTTCTTTAATATTTTTATAAGTAGAATTTTTGTTTTAATATTATTATTTTAACAATTTTTTATTACTGATATTAATATTATATTAATTATTACAATTTTTATTATGCTTAAAATTATTCTTATGTTTCTAATATTAATTTATTATGTTTTAATTTTTATAAATAATATATTGTTGTTATTGATAAAATAAAATAAACATTTGTTAATAAGTTTATAATTTATATCGTGCCAGTTTTCATAAAATTTTTATTTTATATTATTTTTTTAATTTATTATTATTAATATTATTCTTAATATTTGTTATTATTTTTATTTATTAATTTATTATTTTTCCTTTTATTACAATCACTATTTTTTCAATAAAGTAAAATACTTACAATCTGTTAGGGTCTTCTTTTAGACATTCGTCAATAAGGGCCTTCGAAATATTCACCCTATCTTTATTTTGCAGGCGTTTTTCGGCAATAAAAATTCTCCATATTTTGTTGACAGCCGGAATTGACTTGATGGACTCTATGTCAGTCTTTAAAGTTGAAATAACATTTGTTTTTGGGGTAAGATCCCCAAAACCACCTACGGATTCACACTCCGATAGAGTGCCACTAACTGTCGATGCTGATGCCACTGATCGAACGGAGTCTAAATGAAAATTAAATATATTATTTAAAAAAGAAATATATTATTTAAAAAAAGAAAAAAATATTAACAGCCTGTTTCTTTATTTTGAAACGAAATTTTTTTTGTTCCGACATAAAGAAACAGGCTGTAAATCCAGTGTACTTACCTCCAAATTGCAACTCAATATGAAAAGTAGGTGTTGACATATATTGATGAATTACTTTTTCAAACTGGTCTTCTTTAATGGTTGCACCAAACACTAAGGCTGTTATTTTTCTTGAGGCATCAATTTTTAACTCTAATTTGGCTGCTTTTATAAAGCTTTGTAGATTTAAAGGCTCCGGCGCTTCGACAAATAATTTGTCTTCCCCCAAAACAGTTGGTATCAACATTTATTACAACACTTGTGACACGACGCGAAGGCACAAAACAAATAAAAAGAATAAAAAAAGAACACAACCAGAATGCCAACATGAGACACGCGCAAATGTTACGCTCTTTTGTTCTCATCAAGCAAATCGGTGTGTATGCGAAAAACGCATGTATGTATGTATGCATGAACATTAGTAAGAAGCAACGTCTCAGCAACAAAAAAACATCCAAACAGCTCTTTGTGTGTTGTTGTTGGCATTTTTGGTGCATGGACAATAGAAAAGAAATAAACGTCTCAGCAACAGTTTCCATCCCTCTTGCCGCGCACACACCACACATAGTTACAGCAGCGATCGGCAGTGTTTGCTTGGTGAGAGCAAAAGAGCGTAACATTGGCGCGTGTCTCAAGTTGAGACACTCATCAACGCAAAAACAGACTTCTCACCCTCCTGTCTTCTTTTAAGTCACCTATAACACCAATTCAAAAGTAATCGAGAGCTCTGTTGTTTAGCTCTTTGAAAAAAATCCTCTCCGCACCCATAAAAAAATATGTTCTAACATATAAAATATGTTGGTACCCAACAAATAAAATTGAGTTATGTTACAAAATGTTGCAAACAAATATTTGTTTGCACCGAAACAAATTATGTTTGCATCCAAAATATATTTGTTTGCAACCAGTCCCAAACAAATATATGTTTGGATCCAAACATATTTCTAACATATATTTTTCTGCGTGTAGAGAGCTGAACATGTCGCAATATTCCATTCGGCAAATATTGAAAAATGAACTCGGTGTAAAGCCATTGAAATTCCAAAAAGTGCAAGAACTTACACCGCAACAGGAAGAAAATAGACTCAAAAGAGCTAAAGAGTTGCTTCGCTTGGCCGAAAGTGGTGATCTGCCGAATTTAGTTTTCTCCGATGAGAGAACATTCTTTGTTCAGCAGTTTGTAAATAAACAAAATGATCGTGTTAACTTGCCAAAGAGGTCAGCTGAAATTGTGCACCCTAGGTTGGCCACCAGAACTCAAGCGCCGGCCATGGTGATGGTGTGGGCCGCCATAAAAGCGGGTGGTCACTCTCGGCTCGTATTAATCGACCGTGGCATCAGAATAAATACAGAATATTATCGCGAAAATATTCTGGAGGGAGTATAAAAGCCTTGGGCACGCAAATATTTTGGCCACAGACCTTGGACATTCAGCACCATTGCACTCAGGAAGCGCCACCCAAGAATGGTAACAAAATGAGGTTCCTCGCTTCATTTCCAGCGCATAATGACCACCAAAATCTAGGATTCGAATCCGTTGGACTATTGTCTTTGGAGTATTTTGGAAAGCAAGGTCGGCACTAAAAAATACCAAAGTGTCGGTCACCTCAAGCAATCGCTTCGCCGGGAATGGGCTAAAATACCGCAGAGCAATATTCGGGCAGCGTGTGACGGTTTCATTGGCCGTTTGAAGGTCATAATTCGTGCCAAAGGTGACCAATTCGAACAAATCTAAACTTATTCTAAAATTTGATGCTATTTCCGACATTTTTTGCTTACATTCAATAAAATTTAAAGAAAATATATGGCGTTCGACATTGTTGCAGTTTTTTTTATCTCATCCGGTATTTGTTGTAAAATTTCATCTCAAGCGGATAAAAAATGCGACCTGCATTTTGTTCATAAGAATACATGGACTGACGGACTGATGTGCAAAAATCGACTCAGAAGGTTATTCTATGAAGATCCTCAAAAGTAACTATGGGTCTATCTCGCTTCCTTCTCCATGTTTCAAACAAATGTAGGAACACATAATAACCTTACCACTATGTAGTGTAGGGTATAAAATTAGAATCCGTAAAAATTCTGTTAAAAACTTAAATACCGAATATAGGTAGTTACCATTATTTTTGGGTCTATACGAAGACGTGGACCTGCATAGGCAATTTTCTGTATCAGGCGGTAGTACTCATCACGAAGTGCAAATGCGGAATTTGAAACAATTCCGAATATTAGGAGGTGCTGTTATATGAGGCAATACTAAGACCTGGACCTGCATAGGCAATGCCATTAAAATCTTTAAAATACCGAATGTAGGGAGTTACCGTTATATGGTGGCTGTACGAAGACCTGGGACTGCATAGACAATTTACGATCTTCAAGTACTAAATTTGAAACAATTCTGAATAATAATGTCACTGAAATCATCCAAATACCGAATATAGGGAGGTCCCATTATGTGGTGGCTATACGAAAACCTGGACCTTCATAGACAATTTTCTGTCGTAGATTGCAGTACCTATTACGAACTTCAAATACGAATTTTTAAATTGAATAATGTCGCTAAAATCATCACAATATCGAATATAGGGAGGTGCTGTTATATGGGGGCTATACAAAGATCTGGACCTGTATAGCCAATTTTCTGTCATATGCTATAGTACCCAATACGAATTTCAAATACGAAATTTTAAATGATTCCGGTGAATAATGTTGCTAAAATCATCACAATATCGAAAATAGGGAGGTACTCATATGTGGGGGCTATACAAAGACCTGGGACTGTGTAGACAATTTTCTGTCATAGGCTGCAGTATCCATTACGAACTACAAATACGAAATTTGAGAGAATACCGATGAATAATGTCATTAAAATACATTAAAATACCGGATATAGGGAGGTACGCTTATATGGGTGCTACACAAAGATGAGGACTTATTTAGCCTATTTGCATACACATTTAAATAGAATTTTATAAACCTACTTCAATTCGTTCGGAAGCAAGGGGGATTTCCAAAGACGGACAGCAGGACGGACACACAGACCTTGATTTATATATTATGCGGGGTCTAAAATGTATATTTCGAGGAATGACAAAATTAATATACCCTCCATACATAGTATGGTAGAGGGTATAAAAAATTTTACTTTTAGGCGACAACTCGAAAAAAAGCCGAAGAATAGTAGGGTAAGTGTACCAGTAGTCGGCACTTTTAGGATTTTCGCGTTTTTAATCGCTCGCCATTCTGAGTGGAACTTTTCAATTATTACAAAGTTAATTTATTCAGATTCGAAATTTTGTATAGTTTTTGCAATAATAAATAAAGTTTTAATAACTTTTTATTAAATTTCTAAAATTTGAAGTTTTATTAAAACAATGCTTTTTTGCCAGTAGTCGGCACCACTTGCCAATTGTCGGTATGGCATTTTCCAACAGTCGGCATACCAATTTTTTTGTAAGAATAATTAATAATAATAATAAATTGATTCATTAAAATATAATATTTTTGTTTAGTTAAACTGATTCGACGTCTTTATTGTACTTTTCTTAAGAATATGAATTGTTGAGGACCTTCACAGACAAAATTTTAATTTTGTTAGAATAATTAATATTTTCTATCTCTCAAAGATAGCTGACAATATATTTGAAGCAAACAAAATACATTTAGTTATAATAGTTTCATTAATTTGGGCTTAAAAATAAAAAGTGCCGACTACTGGACATGCCGAACTTAGGCACACTTACCCTATTGATTGAGAATTATAACTTGTATGCCCTTATGATGGTTGATCGTAGGCCAGATGCTGTTTGCATAGGGTAAAAAATTTTGGGTATTATATGATTGAGCTGCAGGGACACCTCTTATTATTCTTATTACGCGATGTTGGTTACTGTCTCATGTACGTGTTCAATTTGTCACTCGTTACAAATTGTAGCTCACAACGAATTCAGCTTCAATCTGAAAATTTACTTACTACGCAATTTTACCTTAATCTTTTTACTACCACTTTCTGTGGTCGCCGCAAAATCGGATGCCTCTTCAAAAAAGCTCATGGCTTACTTAAAATGGTTAATTTTCTCTATTCCATGTCAAGAGTTTACGTGCCAACCGTTTTGATTTCTTCCATCCACTAAACACTATTACACTTATCAAGTAAATCCTTTAAGAGTATCCCAAAGATGCAAATATATTCCTGCACAATTTTCGCAATTTTATTGCTTTCTGGGGATTTTTAGTTCAGCTTCTGTCTATGGCATCAGCAATTTGTGTTCCAAAAAAAAGAATAAGAAAAAAAGCAACATCAGTTTATCAAATTTTCTCTTGAACATGGACACAGCCAACACACAAATAAATTATTCAAATTTTGACAAGACATTTTGAGGGGAAGCGGCAAATTTTCCAACATCCTCCAACTTTTTATTATAGACTTCGATAGATGACCCTGAATTTGTTTACAAATCGTCTAAGAAATTTGTATATTCCATGGAAATCTTGGGATTTATTTTTATTTTTTTTGGCTGAGGATTTTCTTTTGGCCCTGCCATTCGTGCCTTGGACCGCTTTGCTGCAAGTGGCAGATGTCTGTGTTGCTTAGGCTTCTGTATTCAGTGGGGTTTCCTTGTCCGACTATAACAAGTAGTTTTGGTGTTGGTGTTGGGTTTTTTCTTTTTGGCCTCGTGATTTTCTAAGCTGTTCAATTTTCGGTTTTTAAGTGTTGCTTTTTTTTTTTTTCGTTTCCCTTTTGCGAAAGTCATCATGAAGCGATGGGATATGTTACAAGACAGTGAAGCGGAGATTTGATGACCATGGCCAGCCACAATTCACTACAATTTTTATTATCTATTACATCTGAAAATCATTTATAAAGGATCATATGAAACCTGCGCGTTATGGCCTTTTACATAGCGTATTTTCATAAACAGGTGTCAAGTAAAACACTGTCCACCTGTAGTTTTTAAAAATATCCCTGGATATTGCTTCGATTCACTGATTTTCATATTTTCCCTCTTCCATATTTCCAATATGTCAAGCGTAAAAAAAGTTTATGATAAATGGTCACTGGGAATACTTCAAGCCATGGAAGTAGGCTTATTTTAATGGCAATTCGTTGTTGGACGTTAGGCGAAGATGGAAATAAAAAATAATGAAATAAATAAAATAAGCCACAAAGTGTGGTAGTCTATATAGTCGTTAACTCAGGCGGACATGTTAAGGAAGCGTTGTTAAAAGCTTTAGGATACACATTCAGTTTTTGTATGATAGCCCAAACTTTAAATATCCAAGTGTCAGTTTAACTTCGTCACTAGGATCATAAATTTACCTCTTAATTATATCAATTTCAATTTTCTCAGTAGTGCAACGGATAAATATGTGATATACGAATACACCGTATTTGCCTTATTATAGGGTTAGAACAAGTAAAAAAGCCGTAAGTTCGGCCCTCTACCATTTGAAAAGAATTTGGCAATTTT